TCCCAGCATATAACAGAGAGATCCCCAAACCAAAACCATTCTAAATATTAAAATATAGGGACACCTAATTCACATCTGATCAGATTTAACTGAGAAACTGCTTGAGGACTATACCTTACAAAAATAAAATGGTAAAGCATGAAGCTTTCTGGAAGCAAAGTGAAACAATTTTGAGTTTGTGCCAAAACAGAATTCATGAAGGGGAAAATTATAACAGGAAAACTGGGAAAAACCTCAAGGACCATTAATGATTTTCTTTAAAAGTGGCATCTAGCAAGTAAAAAATATCATCATTCACACAGATGTGTAATTTCCCAGAGGTTCCTAAACCACTGCCTTGTTTCCTTCATTCAATTTTAATGACAGAGAAGCACTGCTTACATATTGCTTTTTGGCTGTAACATCAAACCTGTGAGGGTGTTATTTTTCTATCTCTTGTTTTTTCAATTGATTTATCTCCTACCAAGTCAAGGTGCCCTGAAGGGAATCCAAAAGGCTGTTTTAAAAATGAATATTTCATTGGGTACTCAGACTATTATACAGCTGAGTGTGATGGAACACACTTGTTATGTTTGGCACTACTTAATTCTACAGCTCCTGGGATTTAATGAATCTGATCTATCCCACTTATTGCCATTAAATATCAGTTCATTCTGCATATTTTTAGTGATACTTCTGTCTCTAAAATCACTCAGGGTTGGGTATTTCCATGTTAATATCTGTGGTGGGAATCTGTTTAGAAAACCGTTCCTAAATGAGAAAGTGAAGTGAGGAAAAAATAATCTACCAGTTTTCTTGGCTTGTCTGTTTAGCAGCCAACAAACAAACTAATGAGCGGGGTGACTTAAACAATAAACCATAGAATGGGTTAAAGACCAACATAAATTTGAAGAACAGCAGTTAAATGAATACAGATAAATAACTAATACGGTTGAAGAGGAAAGTGATCTAGACTGACATATGCTCCCAAAATCAAGCCTGGCTATAAACAGGGATCTCATAAAGCCAGAGAGACAAATCCAATCTGGAGTTGTGCTTCTGTGAAATTAAACACTGTCCAACATCTGATATGAATGACAGGAACCACATCTCTCTCAGTGACAACGAGCATTTTCCACTCGAGCAACCAAAACAATGAATTTTAGATTTTGCTTTGTTGAACAGCAATGACATTATAATCCAGTAGTAAAAAATGCCTTTGTACCAGTTTGCATTAACAGAAAGACAGAACAGACCTCTTAATGTGTTTCTGTTGCAGAAGGGAAAGCTCTGAAATCCTAAGGGAACCAATTACATAAGTCAGACAGAGAACTTCCGGACTTGATAACTGATGGGGTTTGAAAGTTACTGAAAACTGTCTGAACAACTCGCATAGGGTAACAGTCTGGTTCTAAAGGGACACACAATTTGCCTTGAATGCAGAACGTGGCTACTCATTTGGAAACCTCTGGTGGGCAGGTGTTACATAAAAAAAAAAAATACAAACTATCAACTGCAGAACTGCACAGATCAAAACCAGTAACACTGTTTAACATGTACTCAAGAAATCCTGAATTAATCGAGGGCATTAGATTAAAAAGGTTACAAAGGTGTACTGGGAGTTCTTTGCAAAGAAAATATTACTAGCAAACATAACACATTTGCCTAGCTGCATTTCTGAAATGTGAATTTTTCTTACCCTCTGTTTCTATACACAACAAAAATTAAGTATATAATGGCAAAACACTGCAATTTGAAATGTTTCTCAGCGTACACCAGCTGTCAAAAGCACTTTAGGAGTTGCATAAAATACAGAACCAAAGGCGTTCAGATTTAATATTTTATTTAGACACATCCAGCTTGTACTGCAGCTATCATTTTCCCACTGAAAGGTGCTGGATAGAAGACTTCCAAGTCTGCAGGGAAAAGAAATTAAACAAATTTAGGAACTCCATATTACTACTACTATTACAAATACAAATAAAATTACAAGTTATTATTTGAATATAGAACAGCTATAAACACATATTTTAAAATTTTTGATAGGCTTGGCTTCATCCACCACCTGGTTTTGCAGCAGAGGCCTTGACTTACATGAAGCCATACAGTTCTAAATGCTTAAGTTCAATAAAGGGTTGCTGATTTTTGTTTCCTTCTCAGTCCAGGGACTCAAAAACATCAAACTGGCAAAGGAATTACACAGACAACTTCAATTTATTCCAACTATGAGATGTCAGAGAGAGTTGTTATTTCCTTCCAAGAACTATTTCGGTCTTTCCAATTTCAAAAAATATGTTTCTCAAATTACAGAACTGACAATACCAGGTATTTCCAAGGTGGAATGGAAATACCACCAGACAAACTGAAGTAGCCTTTCAACTGCAAGTGATATGCTTGCACAGTCTGGGTCATATCTGAGGCTTGCTTTGTTAGGACCATCAGTGAGAATCAATGGATTTCTGTTAATGACCTTTTTTTGAGTCGACTTTAGCCCAGAACTAGTCAGGAACGATGCAGTTGGTATAATTATTTGGATATGGCTGAAGAAGCTTAAGAAATCTTGTTTTCTACTGCTCTTTATCTGGCACATAGGAAAGCATTTACAGCATTACAGGTTCTTATCCTGTTTTGTCACATCACACATGCTAATTACACCCACAGGTCATGTCAGGTGTGCCTTTGTGTCTCCTCAAGGGTGAAAGCAGACATGGCTCTGGCTACAGTCAGAGGTGTGGCCTCTGGGGAGGCAAAGTTCACAAACCACTGAGTGCAGCAGCTCTGTAACATAAACTAAAACCTGTCCATTATTTGAGCCATTATGATGCAACTGCAGACCACAACCGTGAGCATGTGGACTGCAAAAGGCTGAAAACTACAGTGATTTCTGATGAGGCCAGGCTCTTCAAATTCCACTGTGCTGTGAAAAGCAATAAAATCAGTTACCCAGTCAGTGGAGTTACAGTCTGTGCCCTTCATTTCTTCAAGAGCTGGTGTCTGACTATGAGGAAAGGGGCAGCAAATCCACTTCCAAAGAACCCACACATCAGTGCCAGCAGCCGCCACTTGTTCTCCACAGAGAAAGGCAGGTTCTGGAGGAGAAAAGGGAGCTTTAGTTTTGCAATCCATGCAGTTTAATTGCTCTCTCATTGACTTGAAAACAGTGAGAAATTCAGAGCACTAAGAAGTAGAGCCAAGTTGGTAAAATAAATATGACATTTCAAAGTAGTTTCCCTTCCTTTCAATGAAAGAAATACAGTATTTGTGATGATAAATAACCAGCCACTATCTGAAGGGCAGCTACAGGGAAGCTGGAGACAGATTCTTCATCAACAACTGCGGTGACAGGACGAGGGGGAACGGCTTCAAAATGCGGGAATTAAGGCTGGATTTATAGAAGAAATTCTTCCTGTGAGGGCGCAGAGGCCCTGGCACAGGTTTCCCAGAAAAGCTGAAACTGCCCCACCCCTGGAAGTGTCCAAGGCCAGGCTCGACGGGGTTTGGAGCAAGCTGGGCTAGCGGAAGGTGCCTTTGCCCGTGGTAGGGGGTCAGAACTGGAAGATCTTTAAGGTCCCTTCCAACCCTTAACACTCTCTGGATGTGACCTCTAGGGGTCACTTTGTCGCGTCTCCCTGCAGCCCAAAGCGGGCCCACTTCACTGCAGGTCTCACCCTGCACCGAGGACACACATGCAAAGGCACTCCAGCGTCCTGCTATTTAATTTAGTTTTCCCGTGAAGGGAAAATTACTTTTTCCTCACTTCCATTATGTACGTTTTAAACCAAGTTTTTAGTCGGGGGTCTTTAACACTATCCGCCCAGCACGAGGTACATCAGAAAGCGTTTACAGTATCATTGTTGTTGCTCATACCGCAATGCTCATCATCTGTACCACCGCAGGGAAAGGCGCTGGGGGCCGGCATCACACGCTTTACCCTGCTTTCGGTGTTATGCCAGCACAGCGCCACGCCAAAGCCACACGACAGCAGGTAGATCACAGGGCGGCCATCACAGACATCCCCGTCCCCCCCTCCTCACCCCCCAGGACCCTGAGCGGACCGAAACGCTCCTGCCCACCTTGCCAGGTCCCTCCTCATAGTGGCTGCGGCGGATGGCGGAGGTGGCGAAGCGGCGGACGCCGGCGGACAGCATGATACAGACACGATCGGCGGCGGCTCTTCCGCCCTGCGCGACCTTCCCGAGCGCGGCGAGGTTTAGGGGAAGCCGGAAGAGGAACTGGGCTGTGCCGGGGCATGACGGGAGTTGTAGTTCCGAGGGAGTCACGTGGGACCGGGCCGCGGCCCTCGGTTGGTTGAGCCACGCGCCCGCGCCGGCAGCGGCAGAGCCCCCGTCCCGCCCCCGCCACCATTTTGTGGTGACTGAGGGGAGGTGGGGAAATGGCGGGAGGGGGCTGAGCCTGAGGGGGTGGGGCTGAGAGACGCTTGCGATGCTGAAGCACCTCTGTGCTAGGGGAACGGGATAGGCTCTAGTGTAGAACTGCCGGATCTCGATAAATGGGCGAAAAATAGAATCACAGAATGGTTTGGGTTGGAATGGACCTTAAAGATCATCTCGTTCAAGTCCATGGGGAGGGACACCTTCCACTAGCCCAGGCTGCTGCAGTCTGTCCTTGGACCCTGCCAGGGATCCACAGCTTTTCTGGGCAACCTGTGCCAGTGCCTCACAGCCAAGAATTTCTTTGTACTACCCCATGTAATACTACTCTCTTTTGGTCTGAGTATCATCTCCCCTTGTCCTGTCACTCCATACTCTTTTAAAGAAGGCTCTCTCCATGATTTATGGATTCTGATGATTAATATAGTTTCACTAACTTTAATGAATATATTGCAAACAAATTACACTTCAAAGAAACTTTGACAATATGAAGGTAAAAAAAAAAACCCACCCTCAGCACCCTTCATGTTTGTCAACATTAATAAACACCTACAAAGTTATTTCCAAAATTGGTGGTTTCCATCTGTTTGTTTTTCTTACATGCAGTATTAAAAAAAAAAATTAATTTAAGGAAATGAAGTTTTGTCACTTCAGTAAATGAATGCTACCATCAGTGTTGCAAGGTAACAAATTTTTTCATAGCCTTTCTGCATAGTTTTGTGCTAGGGGAGGATAGAAAACCAGGATATTTTATGGTCACCAACATAAGACATTAATAAACACAGACTCAAAGAACTTTGAGAAGTGTGCCTAATTAGTTTTTATTTAGAAAATCTGTTTTGGAAAACAGAGTCACAGCGAACAGTAAGGAATAATTATTACAGATTACATTGGGAGGCAAAGTCTATTAAAGCAGAAGACACAAAAGCAAGGATAAAAAGGAATTTTTCAAATATTTAAAGTGTATCAAATAAATTATTCACATAAAGTGGAACTAAGTAAAAATATAGGTTCAATTTCCAGGAATGATTTCCTTTATAAATTGCAAAACTGTAATATGAATGAATTTGCATTAGGTGCACTTGTGAGGCTTGTAATGGTGGCCTCTCCTTATGGAAGCAAATCAACACTTTATTCAGATATCTGCTTGTTCTGGCATTGCTGTAGCATCTGCTAAGAAGATCTTGTATAGATTTCAGTCTTCTTCATAAAAAGTTGTTCTACAGCTGAAGAAATTTGTGTGAACACAGTCTGTTCTCTTTCAAAACAAACTAAACAAACTTTCAATACAAACTAAGAATGCTAGTCCAGGTGTGTGGAAAGCCACTCAGGAAGAGTTTAGAGTAACAGATTCAGCTGTCATTGATTGGTTTTTGGCAGAGAAATGAACACTTCCAAAGTGTTAAAAATATGAGGTACACTAGTTATAATGAGGATAATCATTATGACAGCAGATTATTACAGGAGATGGTAAGTGCTGTACTGAATGCCTTTGTAAAAACGGTGTCTAACTCACTCACAAATTGTGGAACTCACAGGAGTCACTGGGTGAAATTCCCTGCCCTGTGTTATGGGTAGAATCAGAATGGGTGATTACAGGGGTATCTTTTAAATCTATGAACCTTTAAAACTAGGCTATTATTTCACATATATTTTTTTATGTCTACAATCTTTTCTTCCTATAACCCCCCCTTGTCACTGTAGTTGCTCAGATTTGCCAGGTTATCTCTTCATCTTCAACAATATGTTACATTTTACTACTTGTGAATATAACTTAGTGATGAATTCTTTCAGGTGCTGCTTTCTTGCTTGCTTTCAAGAATGTTTGTGTTCTTGAACTAGAAGGCAAAAACACAAATAAGAAAAAAACCCCAGGTAACTAAAGAAAATAATGTAAAATATCTATCTTGTGTGATCTTGACAGAAGAAAGAAGCATAGAAATCTTAGTGAACATTTTACAGAATAAATAGGGCCATACAGCACTGTGCATTTTGAAGCTGCCAATCACTGAAATACAGTGATAGAACCAATAAAAGTAAACTGACGTTTTAAATCTCCTTTTATGAGTGAAGGAAACAGCTGTTTTTAGATTCTGGAATTATATATGATTAAGTTCAGATGTGTGTACTTCATGAAAACTTTTTAACAGCATAAACTCAGAAGGTCTCAGGAATCATAACAGCCGTCGTAAATGACACAAAATTATAATTTTTCTGCAGAAATTATCCTCTGGTTTTGTTATCATGATAAATTATTTTGTGTAGTACTTCAGCTTAGGAGACACCCTCCAGTCATAAGGTCCGGTATTAACCACAAGATTAAGCAGCTGTTAAATGGTAACTAATGAAAAGGAAAGCTGAATAGAAGGTATAAGTGGCATTATATAATGGGTTATAATTACGTGTTTTTTAGCAAAACTGTGGTTTAACAGAAGTATCTCTGATAGAGTAATTTGTCAGTCTTAGTCTAATTTCACAATTGTAGAAGGTCTTTCATAAGAGTAATTTAGCTTGCTTTATATGTGATAGTTGTTGGGTTTTTTTTTTCCACAAAGTAAGCATTCTGAAATGTAAAAGTATGTTGCAAATGTAAAATAGATTAGAGTATTACAAATAACATGAGGTCTTCGGCTGCAAAAAGAACTATTTGTGTGCAAAGCATCTGTATTTAGCAACATGAAAGGCTGAAAACCTTGAAGTGAAACAATACAAATAATATTAGTTTAAAAGAATTATCACTTGTAGAAGATACTTACCTTACTTCCGAAGAGCCCACATAAGCTGTTGGAAAGTGGAGTAGTGAGAAGAATTGTCCTTTGGGAACAGTTACAGTGTTTTTGTAAACATTGATAGTCCGAGGATGCTCCTGGGAGAAGATTGTTAGGAGAAGTAGCATCCTTTATTTTTCCATTACAGCTGTTAAAACCAGTCAAGCTTCCAAATGTGCGAGCCTTCCTTAAGGTGTGAAACTGAGTGACTTTCAAGCGTAAATATACACTGAAAGTAATTTTTGCAAGGCGTAATTCAATGGACACTCCCCCCCTCACCCCCCCCCCCCCGCAGTTCTTTCAAGTGGATCATTTCACAGATCCAGTTCACTGTGTAGGGGCACGAAGACTTACACTGGCCCACAGAAAGGTATGAAACAGCTGTAGCATTAAAAATGTGGAAATGGAGGCAATAGCATTAGTGCTTTTCTTGGCATCAACATCAGTTAATGTTGGCAAAAAGAGCTTGTCCAACTACAGCTTTAGTGCTGAATACATATATATATTATTAGAGATTGGGGAGCATGAGGAAATTATTACATGAAACAAATCAAATTCTTTCCAAAGTGCCATACTTCTAATGCCTAGTGCATTTATTAATTTCATTTTCCAGGATCATCCTTGATGACATTCAAGATGTTACTGTGGAAGGTATTAACATATTATACGCTTTTATAAGCAGATTTCAGTATATCATGTTATGTTATAAACAAGAGGATACAATAATTGAAAATTTATGTTTTGTTCTGTAATATCTGTATGTCCAAAAGTCTCTCTGATGAGTGTTGTCTTTCTGTCAACCACTGCTGCAGAAATGCAACTTTAAAATGTCTTTAAAACTGTGTAATTAATGTTTTTAACCTCTTACAGTTAACATAAGAGCATATTAACATTTAACATATGCAGTTTTATTTACTGTGCTCAACCTGAATTGAAATCCTATGATTTTAGCATCTGTTTGAGACACCAAAGTGGGCCTGGGCATCCAAATTTGGGCTGTTAGCTCTGGTTGAATAATTTAGGTTACTACAAGGATTGTAGGGGGAAGTAACACAGTACCTGTGTAATTCATGCTTCTAAACCGTCATGACTACAAAAGACTTATAGGCACATCTTTGTAGTTTTGCTGCTTATTAGATGGATCAGTCACTTGTAAGTACTGTAGTGTCATTTTGTTGTAAAAAATACGCGTATTATGAAAAGCTGAGCACAAATTTATAAGGTTGAATGTTACTAATGAGAGCAGGTTGAGTAGAGCTGTAGCTGGATGTGCATAGTGACAAAATTACAGTTTTGGCAATGTACCTGGCTAAATTTATTTTCACCTTACGTGAAATAATTAAAAAGTTGCACCTTCATATAAATGACTCCTTATGCGTGTGAACACTCATTTGTATGTACAAAACCATGTTTCAGCAAGTGTCTGACAATGATATTTCACCCTGACAGAATTTTTATTTTTTTGTAATTAATCTTTTGCCGCATTAATTAAACGTGCCAAAAGTCTGTATAAAATACATAATGAAAGTTTTGTTCCACAGAACCTATTTTAGAGGCCTTATGAGAAAAAAGCACTTGCACAGTGAGAAAAAACCACTTGACATTATTCATTTTGTCTTCCTGTCTTTCTCTAAAATGGAGTATGTAAAGCTCCATATTTTTGTCACAGACACCAAGACATATTTGGTTTATAATTACAGTAAGCACTGTTATAATTACTTGCATTTTGAACTATGTCATTGTAATAGTCATTGCTTGGTTGCTAAAGCTTGTGCTTGAAGGAGCCCAGAATCACATATTTGCCCTCAATTTACTTGGAGGTGCAATAGTCAATTTACATGGTAGTAAAAACCAAAAGCTACCCTTATTTTTTTCTGCCCTAACTGTACTTATTTTTTCTATAGTTTAAAAGCACACTTAAAAAAACGGATCCTTTTTTTTTTTTGCTTTGATTTTGTTTATTCAAGGGAGTTGAAATCTTGGTGGTGGTTTCTCCATCAACAGGATAGTATGTGGTTCAAAATATACAAGGGGGTAGAAAAGAGCCCTCAAAATAAAACTATTACTTTCTTTCTCTCATAGCAGTAGATTGTTCACCTGTTAAGCAAGTATTGCCCTAGTTTTTCTTATTTATATGTTGTCAGACTATAAATTCACTTGTGACAGTCCATACACAACAGCTTTTAACAATGTCTTTTACAACAGGGATGCCTGCCAGTGGGGTTACTTCTCACTTACCATGATGAAAGAACAGTAAAAATCCATTCCGAGGTACTTAATGCAGACATGCCAGTGTTTACAGGGGGTGAAGTAGTGTAATTTTAATTTTGACATCACTAAGGATGTAAAAATAATTTAATATCTTAGTTCTCAGAGCTCAAAGCTGGAACTTCCATCAGAGCCCATTTCTGTATTTCACCCTCCTGTAAACATATCACATGAAACTATGCACATCTCTTATCATATTTTGATTCATTAGTAATATCCCACTTCAGTCAAGCTAATTTATTTACTTATAAGCCTGTCAGTTCCCCCAGTGATCTGTTCACCCACTTCTCGTCTAAACTTAGTTTTTCAGGATGTTTTTGTAATATGCCAGTTGAATTGAACATGTCACCCATCAATGACCATTATCATGAAATATTAACTGTTCAAGTTGTTGAATGTGAAATATGCTGGTGGTCTCTAGTTTATATTCATTGTGCCTTAACATTGTCCTCTTTGTCTATGAGGTCAACAAAGAGCTGATGTCTGCCAAAGGACAGATACTTTTTTTTTTTAAAACTGGCTGTTTGGTCAGCAGTGAGGCAATGTTGAAGGGGCAAGGACTTGCTTATGAATTTTCTGTGTAATTCAGGCTGTACTGACTTGTTAACATTAAATCTGAACTTAAAATGAAGTGTCAGTGGTGATGGCTCACATCATCTTCATTACAAGCACTAACAAGGTTGTTATGCTAAAGTCTGGAGTCAAGTCTTATCAGTCAGATGAGTAAGATGAGTAGGAGAAAGTGCTTCAGTGACACACTTTTCACGGTGAGATAAGCAGAAGATGCTGCACTGAATTTATTTAGTAGTGTCATGGTTTTGTTTGTTCTGGGAAACTAAGCTGGAATTTTTCCTTTCACTGTGCCCACAGTGTGAAAGGGATGTTGAATAGGCAGGTTGGCTGTGGTTTGGGCCATTAACTAACACAAAAGAATGGCTGGCAAAACCCCATTCCGAGCTGATGGCCCTCAAGATCTTGTCTCCTGGGAAACGGAGGAGGAGTTCGTTGCTGCCTGAGCTGAGAGGGGGTCTGGGTGGCAGCAGCTCAGAAGTGGCTCTGTTCTTGGCCTGGCTGCCAGCTGTGAATTCTGCTTGAATTTTCATTGGAGAGGAACTGTTTTGGAAGGTTTTCCTCTCCTCTGTTCCCTTTTTTTTTTTTTCTTCGCAGCAGTTCTTGTGCACATCAAAAGGGGAGGGAAAACTATACACCACAATACAGCCAGCAGGACAGAATGAGTTCCCCTTGGGAAGGACCTTTTTATTTTTCTTCCCCCACTCCCTCCTCTCTCTCCCCTTTCCTAGTGCAGGGGGAGGGAAGACCTCCATTTTCAGCTTCTCCCACACACCCGGGGGCTGGGGCCCCCCCAAATGGCGACCACCAGTGATCCAACAGCATCAAACGCCACCAAAGGGCACAAACTGAACTGTTTACCTTTTTCATTTTGTTTTTTTTATTTGTTTGTTTCGAAGGGGATTATTTTTGGGTATAGGATTATTGTTTGGTTGTTTTACTTGTGTTTTATTTTTTCGTTGTTTCTGCCAATACACATTTATCTGTTAATAAAGGGCTATTATTCTTCCGTTTTCCACAATTTTTCTCCATCAGAGCCTCTTAATTCCAGATTCACAATTGCTTAGAGGGAGGAGTTTAGGTCTTCCTCATAACTCATCCTCAGCAAAACACTTGTGTCTTATTTAAACTGAGACAAGTAGAGATGCAACCAAGTTTGTGCCAAGCTGCAGACTGCAAATGCAGCCGAAGAGCTGAACAACTGATAGTTTTCCTAATGGGAATCTCAAGCTAGTGATTTGTCACATCTTTTGGCATTTTCATTGAGGAGGAACTTCTTGGATTTTTTTGAATTTTTTGGATCTGTTTCTGTGATGTATCCAAACATTTTTGTGAAGCACACATTGATAGTAGGCAGTTTCCTACCTGGAATGTTCTCTGTGTGTGTTCTTCCCCTCCCTCTAAAACAGGATGTCTTTTTACTAACCCACAGTGTTTGTTCTGTCCACTCTAAGACACCATGGGAGAGTTTCATGCTGTATTAGGTTTATGCAGCAAGATTTTGGTAATGGCAGGGCTACAGGATAAGGTCCTGAAACAGCCAGCCTGTGTTAGGAAAACGTAAATTTGCCCTCCTTACCTTGGAATTCATGAATTTGGCTTCCCATGCCTTCCATATAGCTCCTCTCAAGTCACCTAACAGAGGAACTCCATGATTGTTATTCAGAGCTTTACCTGAACACTTTCTAAAATCTTTTTTATCATCTTAATATTTGTTCCCGAGATTAAAAAAAAAAATCCTCTTAAACGTCTGAAGAAACACACTCTGGAATTCATCTTAGGTGGACTTACTGCCATTTTTAATCCTCTGTAGCTCCAGACTTTATCAAATGTGTGATGTATTTATCAAATACCTTGAAAAATTTATTTCGCTCAGAATGTTATATTTTTTTCTTTTTTTTTTTTTTTAATATCTCATCTTTGTCTTATTCTGTGTCTTGAAGAGATGTGTGCAAAGCTTCTGTGAAGAATTTGGTACCTTCAGCAACTTGTCAGTGGAGCCAAGATCTCCCCCTTAAAATAGTTCATTTTGTAAATGGCAACTTACATATAAGGAAATCATTATCAACTCAACATGGGGAAAGCAGTGGATTTTTTTTTTCTATTGCACATACTCAGTTGCTTCACGGCATTTCATTTCACATTTGGAAACTTGACTTCTGACTAGAGCTGTATGATACTGCCAGTTTTTGCTTTGACTATTCAAGTGTAAAAATAGCTAACTTTGCAAGAATACAGTATATTTAATCCAGCTCAAGGGTGTCATGTTACAGTAGAGCAAGCGGTTCTTGTCTTTGAAAATAACCAGTCTGGAGTACTGGAAATGTGAAACAGAAAAATGTCATTTGCCTAAAGGTACTCAGGTTGAATCAAGGGTTATTTATGGCTTGTCCTGATCAGGTTTTGAGATTCTGAATATTTATTTCCTATTTCAAGTTACACAAAACTGAGCAGATTGATGGTCCATTATAATCACGGTTCCGGTAGCGCATGTTCTCCTGTGGCTCCTCAGAGTGGGAAGCAGGGCCTTGACACTGGGGCATGAATTTCTCCAGTGGATGCTTTTAGAAGGACAAGCCCGTGGCCGAGTAGCTATTGCAGAGTCTTGCTTGAGTACAACTTACCAAACTTGTTTAACAGTTTTTCAGATAAATATGGTACATGGCTGGAAACCTGCTTGAAGCTGGGGCTGGGTTTGTCTGCGTGGAGGAATTTTGGGCGGAGATACAAAGGTTCTCTAAGAAGCTCAGTTCTACCACAGCTTTTAGTTACATGCATAATCTCAGACATCAGCTCAACTTCTCATACAAAACATTTTTACCACCAAGAGCATTTTCTCTTAGATTATGTCTATAAAGTGTGAGAATTGCTCATGTAGGATAAGAACACAGAATCTTCTTGCCTCTTGAGACTAAGGATGTGTGCCTCAACTTCATCCCAGTTTTTACATCTGTTTTTCTGGGATTTCTTCCCTATAGAAACTACTTGCAACTCCTAGGACAAGAGTCAAAAGGTGTTCTGTTGCTTATTCTTTTCCCCAAAATCTTAAGTCTCTTCCTAAGCTTTCTTGGCAGACTACTTGTGTTCATTTAATCTGTTGATGTTTTATAGGATTGCCTTAAACTGCAGTTTCACCCCTTGATGAATGGACAGTGATTTTGGGGAGAAAGCAGGAAGGAAGCAGAGGGCCAGGGCTGGAAGCAAATACATGAAAGAAGGATATTTGGGAAAAGATAGATGACAAAGGGACCAGTGAAAGAAGTCATAATGGGGTGGATGACATATCCATGAAATCAACAGCATCAGTTTGTGTTCTGTGCTACCATTCCAGCTTGGATTCTCAAGGCTCTTTGGTCTGGCACATTTCTGGATGGCAGTCCAGTGTGTGCTGACATGCTTACCAAACTGGGATTGGCCTTATAAGTGAGCCCATGTTTTTATCTGATGCATCTAATTTGGTGTCTAAATAAAAGGGAGACGGTAACACACCGTTCTGTTGTCACAGTCTCCAAAGGGCATGTGAATGTTATAAGGAAATACCTGTTAAATCTCCTTAAATTAGAAGTGACTAAATAATAAACACTTTCACTTTGTATTTACTGTGCCTTGTGTGATGTTTATTCTTTTGCCTCCTACTGAGACTATTATATTTGTTGAGAGCATAAATAGGTTTCATCTGTCATTCTCTTCTTTCAGTAAAACACTTAAAGAGTAAATTGTTGTCCTGGATGTTGTGCAGAGGCATACTAGTGTTT